AGAAATTCGCAAAAGATTTAATTAATAAAGTTTAAATAGAAAAAATATATAATTTAAATAAACATAAGATAAAATATAGATTTTTCAAACGCAAATTGTAATGCACATAGACAAGATCATTTAATCTTTGATGCTCCAATCTATTTCTTTTCTTGGTGTGTATCTTTTCAAAAACACTCCAATTTTTTTCACAGCCCGAAGATGATGAAGTTTGGCTCAAAAGTTTAATAGCCAAATTTTAAGAGTTGGAGCACTATATCCGAAATATTTCCACCACTCATCTATCAAGAAGATAAGAAATATATAAAATGTTAAAAAATTTATAATTAAAAATATATTTCATAAAAAAAAGTATTAAAATTATAAATTTAAACTTGTAATCTTACTGGGTTTCATATATTTTGAAGATTCAACTGCACTTGAACGAGCAAAGCTCTCCAATCTCTTCTCATATAACTCACATTCATTCCAAAATTTTGTCTTTCGAGAAGAAAATTTTCCATCCACAACATCCATAAACCCTTTCATCACTTCTTGCTTGGTACAAAAATGCTCTTTATCATAAAAGAAAGAAGGATTCAAGTAATAGGCAGCAGCATGGATACTTTGACGAAGTTGTCTATCCCATCTTTCCTTCATAATTTTTGTATAAGGCTTGTATAAAGACTTTCTATTCATCAACATAGTCTTAATAGCCTTTCTAGCCCTATACATGCCATCATAGACATAACCAAGAGAAGGCCTTTCATCACCATCAACAATTTTAAGCAGATGCATAAGTGGTGCCACAACTTTCACAACAAGTTGACAAGTACTCCAAAATTTATTATCTAACACAACAGCAATAACATCTTTCGCCTTCAAATCTTTGTAGTATCTAGATTCTTTAAATTCCAAACTAGTAACCAATGCTTGCAAATCATGCTTGTGATCAAGAATACTTTTTAATGCAATGAATGTATTGCAAACCGTGTTGGCCCTGGACCAATAATTTTAGTCCACCCTTCTCTTTTTCTTAACCAAGCTAAGAGAAAAGCATGATTATATACAAATTTAGTCACCAATGATGCACTAGTTGCCAATATCACTTAATATCAAATTCAAGTAATGCACAACACAAGGAGACCAGAAGAGAGTTGGATATATGTCATTCAACATGTTTTCAACTTTCTCATAATTAGCTACATTATCAGTGACCAAATGGACAATATTACTAGCACCAGCAAAATCAACCAATTCTTTCAACAAATTGCAAAGCATGCTAGTATCTTTAACAACATCAGAAGCATCAACAGATTTCACAAAGGTTATCCCTTTAGGAATAATAAACAAGAAAATTAATAAATTGTCTATTTTTTTTATCCGGCCAACCATCACCCATGATTGTACAACTAGTTTATTCCCAAATTTTCCTATAAGAATCAATAACATATGGACCTCTTTTTTTAAATCTTTCAAAAGATTAGTTCTCACAACATGATAAGTTGGTCCTTTATAACCAGGACCAATTGTAGCAATAGCATCAATCATTGGCTGAAAATATGGAGAATTAATAGCATTTATAGGAATTCAACTATCAAAGAAGAACCGAGCAATAGCTAAATCAACTTGATGAATATCTTTTATACCTGCCATTGCACTTCTAATTGATGGTTGAGATCCAAGAGCTGCTCTCGGAGCAAAATAATTATGCAACTCACTTGCCTTTCTTTTTTTACCCTTTACTAAAGTAGTTGCTATTTCTTTTGCTTTAGCTTGAAAAGGTGGAGCAAGAATCTCTTGTAAATCAGCATCGCGAAATGGATTATCTTCCCATTGATTTTTAGCTTGCTTCTTCATTTCTTCAAATTCCCTCAAACTTTCTTGCATTTGATAGCGAACATCATAAGGAACCTTATCGCATTTTTTTACTTCTCCACCTTTTCCAGCAAGATGCTGTTTCATTCTATTTATTCCCCCTCCTTCGATAAGCTTTTGACAATGCAAGCATTGTAATGTTTTTTTCGTGCCTTCAACTTCAACACAATGCTCCCATGCAATATTAGCTTTTCACCTGCATGATTGCTATAATTGTGTAGAAGCAGCAGTTGAATTTTGTCTAGAAGATGACATTTTTCTATAATTTACACAAATATATCAATTATTAAGAAAACCTCCAAGAATATAAGAATGATAAATAAGAATTTATTTGAATTAAATATTAAAATTTAAAATCAATTCATTACAAATTAGAAAAGAATAAAAACTTGTATCACAGTAATCATATATATTAATTTGAGCATCACAGCATCAATGCATTACATATATATATTTTTCCAAATCTTTTATCTATATTGATTAATAAAAAAATTAATTCCTATAAACAATTAACAATCATTCATCAACATGTAAATTTGATAATTAAATTCAAGATAAAACTGCAATTATTACCCACTGGAAACAAGTGCTGCTCGGTTTTGCTGCTGCTGCTGCTTGGTTCGGTGGATGAAGGAGAGGAAAGTGCTACTGCTCTGTTCGATGGATGAAAAGAGGTTGTTTCTACCCACTGGGAAGGAGAGGAAGGTGAGCAGCAGATGCTGCTCTGTTCAGTGCTGCAGCTTTGTTTGGTGCTACTGCTCTATTCGGTGAAGAAGCTACTGTTGTTTAGTGGCCGGCAAGGAAGTTGAACCGCGAAGGGCTGGAAGGGGCTGTTGATGGTGGTGGTTGAGAGCAGATGCAGATCTGTTCTGCTGTTGTCGCTCTGTTTTGTGCTATTACTTTGTTTGGTGTTGTTGAAGCTGTTGTTGTTCGATGGAGGAAGGGAAGGAAGATGATCCATGAAGGGTTGGAAAGGGCTGTCGATAGTGGTGGTTAGGGGCAGGGAGGTCGGTGGAGGAAGGAGATCTACTCTGTTTCGGTGTCTCTAAGTCTGAACTTTCTTCTTCTTTCTATTTTCTGCACAATGTTTGTTCTTGGCTGCTGACTGCTTTGTTTTTTTTTTTCTTCTCAATTTTGACCCTCTATTAGGGTTTTTTTTTTAAATCTAATTTTAATTGAAATTTAAGGGTTTTTATGTAATAATATTAAAAAGGTAGGATAAAATAGGTATATTGCCTTTAAAATGGAAAAAAATGGGTCAATTGCTGAGAAGAGGTGTAGCCCGATGGGTGGACTGAGTGGAATAGGCTAAGCGGGTTGAGCGGGGCAACTGGGTTGGAGCGGGTCAAATAGCAAAATGGGCTGAGGGATGCATCCGGCTCGTTTTTAAGCTAGGTCCAGTTCAACCGGTTCAATCAGTTTAACCGACTGAGCTGGGCCAGGTCTAAAAACAATGGATTTAAGAAGTCCCATCTCTTCTATTGCTTTCATCTTCTCAGGATTGACCTCTATCCCCTCCTAGAGACCATGGAACCTAGAAAATTTCCAAATTTCACACCAAATATGCATTTGTAGGATTCAATCGCATCTTGTTCTTTTTTAAATTGTTGAAAGTTTCATCGAGGTTGGCTAGATTGTCCTCAACTCTCAAGTTCTTTACCATGATATAATCAACGTAAACTTCCAAATTTTTGCCAATTTGAGCTCGAAACACAGTGGTCTCCATCTTCTGGTAGGTGGCACCTACTTTTTTTAAACCAAAGGGAATCATATCATAACAATAGATTTCATCATTGGCATAAAAAGAAGTTTTTTTCTTCATCTTCAAGGGCCATCGAGACTTGATGATAGCCTGAGTATGCATATGAGAAACTTAATCTCTTATTCCTAGAGACTGCCTCAACCAATTTATCAACACTTGGCATCAGCTAGTAGTCCTTAGGATATAGCTAGTTGAGATTAGTGTAGTCGATGCACATCCTCCATTTACCATAAGGCTTTAAAACTAAAACGAGGTTGGCAACCCATTCGCAATAGTTAACCCTTCTTATAAAGCCAACTCGCAAGAGCTACTCTACCTCCTCCTGCATCACCTTAAGCCTTTCTCCCCTGAAGAGACGTTACTTTTGTGCAATTAGCTTTTTTAGGGGATTGGTGTTGAGCTTGTGCATAGGCACCAAGGTTGGAATCATTGGCATATCAGTGGAAGTCTAAGCAAAAACATCTTTGTTAACTCGAAGGAAAGCTATCAATTTTTCTCTGTCCTTTGGGCTTAGAGGGGTTTCAATCTGCGTTTTCTTCATTGGATCTTTGTCATCAATTTGCATTTCCTTTACATTCTCAACTGAAGCAACTTGAGTTTCTTCATTAGGTCAATTATCCAATAACTCCACTCCCATCACCTTTTGTCCACTTGAAGTTTGTTATTGAGCAACCTCTGGTATTTGATTGGCCTTCTTCTAAGGTCATGTGACCGAGGTGACGTAACAATGTCTAGCTACCTCTTGATTACCTTTTAAAGTCACAATTCCCATGGGTGTGGGGAACTTCATACACAAATAGGATTGTGAAACTACAACTTGGATCTCTGTTGGCATAGGTTGATCGATACCAATGTTAAAGGAAGATGCCATCTTAACGACTAAGAATTGAACTGAAGGGGTGACCTAAGTTTGACCCTACCCAAATGCCACATTAAGAGTAAAAACCCCCTCAACTAGGACTAGCCGGTTTTTTGAACTCGTAGATAGGACCATCGTACCTCTACAACAAAGTTGGATCAAGGCCCAAGTTCTCAAAACAATTATAATAATTATATTAGGTGCACCGCCAGTGTCAATAAGAACATGTTGGATTTCACAATTGTTAATTATCATGGAAGTGACCAATGGATTATTGTGAGGTGTTACAACCCCATCAAGGTCGACAGATGTGAAAGTTATAGGTTGATTCTTCCATTCTACATTGTCAAACTTCCTCTTTTTA